AAAAATATTGTGTGTCCTTATTTGACTATGTCGTTGTTTGATAGATCTGGGGGCACGTAAGAGCTGGTGAACACTCAGCCGTTGAGATCACACACTCTTTTCCAAGGTTTGATCCCTCTTGGGTGCATGATTGTGGTACAGATTTTTATAAGTAGGTACCACCGAGATATATCGTATGATTTAATAACTTGCCTGTTATTGTGCTGAGGATACGTTAATAATTCCCTGTCTTCGATGTCACATTGCTGCAATGTTATTACATGCCACGGAAGCGAATCAGATCATAAGGTGGCTGTTATGAGAAAGTGGCTCAAGGTAAGAACCGAAGGAGAAGAACAAACGCAAAAAACATAATGCCGACCAATATTAGCTTAATTTATGAGCAACTGTAAAGAGGAAAAGAGGTTTTTTTTGCTGTTCTGCTGGAGCAATGAGCCGTGTGCGTATTGGTGACTGGCAATCTGCTTGTATAGTCTATTGAGTTTAAAAGGTGTGCGAACAAACCAGAGGCGTTCATAAAGAGCACTCGCTCACACTAATCAGGGGGGAAATGAAACATGGAAGAATCGCTCAGCTAAATGTCAGATGGTGCTAATAAGGGGAGCTTTTTGTCCTTTGTTGATCTTGTGTGTGTGTGTGTGTGTCTCTGTGCATACTGTGGGTGGAATCTTTTCCATCCACCTCTTCCGTTTCTCTCTGTGGTCATGGACTAAGGCATGTGCTGCTCCACATCTCCGCTACAATAGCCTGTGTCATACATACTCTCAGCATCCACTGCTTTCACTAAGTACTCTTGACAGTAGGAGGAGTTACGTTCCTGTAAAGACCTCTAGAGATGTCCCCTCCACCTCAGCTCCACCGCCACCACCACCACCACCACCACCCACCACTCACACCTACTGTACCTCTCGGGGAAGAGAGACGAGGAGAGAAAGCGTGGAGGGAGGAGTGGAGGGAGACCGAGAGAGGAAAAACAAATCCAAGAGCCATAAGCTCCTTGAAATGAGCTTGTTGAGGCGAGAGAAGCGGAGAGAGGGACAGCAAAAAAAAAAATCACAACAAAGTCACTTAGCAGCAATGCTCCCGCTCGGTGTCTTTAATGAGAAGCAGTGAATCTTTGACAGTTCTTGTCACGCGGGAGTCCGAGGACTACATTTTTTTTCATTTTTTCTCCGCCAGCAGGGGAGTTACTATAACAAAACTGAAACAAGGCAGCGCAAGTGACGAGAGGAAATAGAATATATTTAAAGGTGCTCGGGTGACCGAGGGGTTGCCGACGCGATGGAAGCCGACTCAAAGAAGCAACGATTTAGGAAGGGTCGGAGTGCCACCTTCAGCATCGACGGCTTCAACATCACCATAGGGGGCCCACGAAACGGGACGCCCCGCCAGGGGAAAATTTGTTTTTTTTGTGTTAACCAAGTTGCATTGGAACAGCTTTTTACAAGCACCAGCGGTCCATGCGCGGGAGGCCCCCCCCTTCTTTAATCCTTGTCGCCCTGTTAGTCCAGTGCGCCCTAAAGTTTTTTCCTTGTCGCTGTATAACGCAACTAAACCATGGAAACAGGGGCGGGAGGTGGGGGGGGGGGGGGGCTGCAGGCTAAAGCTGCAGATTACGTCAGCGGCAAAATTTTGCGGTGTCTTTACACAACAGTGTTGATGAACTTATGTGCCACTCGTGAAAAGTGTCATCTGAGCGAGTGTTGAAACAGTGCTGAAAATAAAGCAATGTGAAGATGTTCTTTGTGCAGCTGAGGAGCTGTAGTTTATTACAAGTCCTTTGTACTGCAACACAAATGTCACAAGAAATTGAAACATGGTCACGGGCTTTGAGGGGTGATTCAACTTCAAGTAGGCAGAAAACTGTTGCTGCACTTTTTATCCACGCCCCAATCGGTGTCGGTTATAGCAGGAGTCCCCCCACAGCTGGAGAGTCAACATCTGCTGCGACAGGACTGGGTTGAGATATCCAACACGCTTTTCAGCCTCAACCCAAATAGCTGTGTCAACTTCAGTATTGAATCATTTTTCCAACACGCGTTACTTCAGGATGCAATAGGGCTGTTCATGTCGTGGAGTCCGGTGGAGCTGCACTGATCATCTAATGCTTCCAGACGTTTCAGCTGCACGGACAAATGAGACACAACAGGAAGTGTTCATATTGTCATCCACACAGTCACTGCACAAAGGGGATGGCACTGGAAATTCATTTGAAAGCTACTGTGACAAACCCTCAATTTGTGCCGGCTGCAGTCGGATCTGGGTCTGTTCACAGCGGGCCGGTCCCCCCGCCGGCGGCCCCGCTGGAGTCTGAAAGCTGGAGGGAGTTTCGGTGCATGTTGATTAGGTGGATAAGGTGCATCCAAGTTCCGTCAGAGAGCTTTGTGTTGAGCTTGGCCCAGTTTGAACTGTGGGCCACAGGCTGGGTGCTGGTGTTATTGTGGAGACACGTGGAATACTAAACATAGACTATTTGTGCATGATATGAATGTACTGATAAGCTTTAGTGTTATGGCATAAAGACACACAAACAGCGAGAGAGACGCCTCCAAAATAATTTCCAGATGTTGTCGTAAAAGCATTAAAGGCAGCCCGTAAATGATTTGATGATCAAACAGAAAATAGACTTTGGATTTTCCGCTCGCATGGATGCATCCTGTTACCTTTAAAATGTGTTGACTCTTATTTCCCTCATGCTGCCCACAAGCATGGCAGTTGTCATGGCAACCTACAAGTGTCACAATCAATTGCTCACCGGGCCAGGGATTCAGCCTGCGCAGCATTTTGCCAATCAGCTCCTCTGGAGCGTGACTCCTGTGCACTGCTAGCTCATTGCCCGGCTGGACTCCTCGTGTCCACCGTTAAACGGATCGGTTTAGTCGCCTGTTAGCTCTGTGGTGTTCTGTTGATGTTGTGAAGCTCACATGGAGGAAGCTGACTTCAGCTGAACTCGTAACTTTTGGAAGGGGTTGCCGGACGGAGGGAACCAGGCACCAGCTTTTGGCTGGCGCAACTGAAACCGGTTGCCGCTGCATACTGCTGAAGTTCAGATTTACACACAGACCTTTTTCACATTAATGGAAACTTGTGTCTGTTTCCATGGTGACGTCACAGTGCTATATTTATGAGTTAAAACATTTGTTCGTTGTTGCTAAATCTGAAATTTCCAATAATCCAACAATCTACATCTACTTCTTTGTAGTTGTAATAAAATTATATTTTATAATTCCTTTTATTGATGATGTTGTTGAGAGGTCAACTCGCCTTAGTGTGTAAAAAGTGTGCGTCTAGTCGGGAAAAAATTCATGGTTTTTGATACTATTGCACGGAGAAAAAGGTATTCCAGTTGTAACAAAATAACTTTAAAAAAGGTAAAAAGCCCCAATCAAACAACATTGCTGGCATTCATCACAGGAGAACGGTGAAGAAGCTTCATGCCACTGGGAGAGAGCAAGGCCATCCAGTGTGTTGAGGAGGCGTGGCTACCCGCCTCCACAGCGCCAGTTAGCGCGACTACATGTTCACTACAGGCGATAGAACATCCTCATGCTAAGCTGAAGGTCAGTCTTACGTGCTCAGCCGCAGGCAATAATGGACGGAATGCCTGAAGAAAAAGTACAGATGCTGGAACACGAATTGGAGGTTGATGGGAGAGAACAGACGATGCCGGTTAAAGCAACAGAATATTATAGTGCTTTGTCACAAAATGTCCTGAGCAGAGAGTGTATAGAATTAAATGAGCTAGTTTTCATTTACTTTGGGCATCCAAATGTTCGTCTTAATCCTGGATTCCGTCCTACAGTGGGCGAGGGGGAGAGTCTGCCTCAGCGCAGCCGGCCAAGTAGTAAACCATCAAGCATTACACACAGTTAATGTTTCCCCGGCTTTTGTGAAGTCAAGCCTTCTACAAGAAGATGATAACTGATTTAACCTGCACGTTATATACTGCGGAGTGACTTCCTTTCACGGGTCACCTTCATTCACTGTGATTGGTACGAAGGGTTTGTGGAGCACAGCCAATTACACCAGGAAACCCTGAGACAAAATGAACGAATCAGACCTGAAACCTCCTTACACCTCTTCTAAAAAAAGGCAACGGGTGTAATCTTTACTGATTTGAATATTGTTCATAAATAATAAATAATGGTTGTCCAACCACTCTCACTCAGCCTAAACACCTAAAAATTATTTGAGCCTTTTTTGTGATTGTTTGACCATATATCTGAATATACCTTTAACATACCTGTAAAAAATAGCTGAAAGGCACTTTAAAGCACATTTATTTCATATTTCATGTGAATGAACAATTTTAGAGGGAAGGAATATGACCGCTCATTTAAAAAAAGATTCAGTCAATCTTTCATTGCGCAAACGGTTTGTGAAAAATATTTATTTATATTATGTTGTCATGGGAAGCCTTCCGTCCTCCTGTTGTGGAGTTGACATCTAGTGGCTTACTGGGGAACTGAAATTTGAGGCTCGGCCTAAAGAAAATCTGAAATGTTATAATTCAGACCATCGGCTGCTGCAGTGGAAAAGTTCTCCTCTTCCTCTTCTGATGAGCAACAGAGCCACGCTGTGCTTTTAACTGAGTTGTTAGTGTCTGTCAACAACACTGCTCGATGAGAATACGTATTCCACGAACCGTGTGCAGTGTCCAGTGGGCGGAGACTCCGGAATCCCAGTCAGCGCGATCATTGTGTGAATTACACGTCTGCACAAGAAGCCCTTGTGTTTAATCCCAATGAGCAAAAACAGCCCGGGTGCAGAGTGAGTCATTACAATTTTAGTGCAGCATTTATGTTTGTGTGATTATGCACAAAACGGTTTGAGAAAATGACCGTTGTTGAAACAAAGAAAATGTATTGAATGCAACAGGAGAAGTGTGTATATGAACATAAGAGAAGATACCGATGGATTTAATCAGTAGAGTTTTTCATAATCATGTATGTTCTTACCAACATTTTACTTGATTATTTTCCAACTGTTTTTCTCTCCAGTGGCAAACGAAGATGGGGAGAGCTCCAGCAGACCACAGGCAAACTTTTCACGTAAGTGTTCTCTCAATTAGTAATCCTCAATTACTAAATTCTTTGATTTCAATTCATCACCTTTTTTCAGATAAAACTCACTTACAAGATTATCCAGAATAAATGTTACTTTTAAAAGCACTGATCAGATATTTTGAGTTATTAAGAAGTATGGAGAATTTATCAATGATAACGCTGCTATAATGACAATGTGAATAGTTTGCTACTTGGGTAGAAGCACTGCTTCTCTTTTGTGCATTAAGATAAACTTGTATTGACAACTTACATCCACCTGGGGGCAGCATGGTGAAGGAATCCTCTACTGCCGAGCTCCTGGTATCCATAGAAAGCAGATTTAACACGTGTGCTGTTTGTTACATTATACAGAAAAACCTGTTAAACAAGTGAAAGTTGGATTCATGGCTCCAAGCACAGCGACTGTGACACGGCTAAGCCCTTTTTTTCCTTTTCTTTTTTTTTTTTGCAGGCTCAAAGTCCCAGAGTGCTTTGTGGAACGCCATCACGGCGGGGATGGGCATCAAAGGCAAAGAGGAGAAGCCCCCACTATTTGACCTGCGGAGCCCTGAGGAGATTCTGGCCGACGATCTTCCGGCCGCAGATCAACCGGATGCCACAGAGAAAACGGCCATCAGGTTCGCCGCTGTCGGGCTGCTTTAGCAACCAACGTCTAATAATACATTATTCATTTTTGTTAATCATGCTGGATTAAATCCTGCGTCAGGCTGCAGTGGGACACCGACAGGCATGTCCAGCTCATTGTCTTACGCTGGTGTAATTTGCATACAGGAGAGAAAACAAGGCAGCATAAACAAACAGGCATCGCTCTGCGGCGTGTACATATTTAATGTTCTTGGACACTGATTAATGTGAACTTGACTATCAGGTTGGCGCGGTACGAGGTAGGCCCTCATCTTGTTTTCTATGAATAGAATCTTCTTTCTGACATTTTATATTCTGGATAGACACACACACACACAGTGCTGATTGTTATGTATGGCTGCTGACCTCAAGGGACGTGGGGAAGATTGATTCCACCTTGATAACAAGGACTTCAAACCACCATTAACATAATTTGTGGTCACTTTTAGAAGATTGAATGTCTTTTAACGCCTGATTCCAATTAACCTTGATGCTCCGGAGGCTGTTACAAATGCCGCAGGTGGCTTGAAGTGAGCATTTGTAGGAGGATAGTAAAAAGTCCACCAGTTACGGCGAAATTATTTGGAGATTTAGTTTGTACAGCAGGCCATTCACAGAGATGTATAATTCATAGGGCATTTGGTATAAAATTATGTTACATTAAGTTATAATAACTATTTCACGATTGTCTCATTTTCTTCTTGTTCTTGTCACCGCGGCAACACATGCCTCTCTGCTGGTGCTTCATGCTATCTCAAATTTCAGCCCCGTGGATCTCTGCCATGGTCTTCCCCAAAACGCAGGCTCTCTTTTTCCAGAGTACACGGTGACAAGGAGGAAGGGATTTTCCACTTGGCTTTTCCTTCATTTTAAAGCTACAGCGTAGATTAGAAAGAAAAACAGAGCCCGCGCAGATCGGCTAAAAGCACTCTCATCTACCTCAGAGGAAACAGTCCATTTGTCCTTAGAGACAGTGACTTATTTCAGTGTCAAAGTCCCATATTCAGACATGGCTTAAGCTTTCCTGAGGGCGGAGAATAAATGCAAAAAAGCACAAACCAAACGCTGCTAATTTCTGGCTGAGGCTGAACAATTTGCATTTGTCGTCTGGCCTGAAAGGAAATGATTAATTTCAGGAGCGCTAACAGTTTATATAGAATTAAAATGTCAAAAACAGCCTCCCAGACAATTTATTGTTTAATAAAGTGGTAAACTATGGATTTTCCAGCAAATGTAGTTTCTAGAAAAGAGCTTATAGTTTGGCCTTTTGGTTTGGGCTGCATCCGTTCCATGTGATTCAAACTCATCTTCATCCTCACGTCGTTTTCTGGGAAATCCCACTCAGGTCAGGGCAAGTCTTTGGCTCGGGACAATTGTAGTTAATAAAGAGCAAATCCACGGGGGAGCAAAGGGATCTACAACTGAACGAATGACGGATGGAAAGATTATGGCGCACGGTGATTAGATGGCTGAGGAACTAGCAGTAATCCATAACATGATGTAACCACGGTGTCACCTTTGAGGGCAGAGCCGGCTGCTCTTCTCTAGGTGATGATAATGAGATTTTATTGGAGAACGCAGAGGGATCACATGAAGTGTAGCAGGCAGGATGGGAGTTGGTGATTCAAAGGGACAGCAGTCATTAACTGGGGTTGAATGAAGGTAAAAGTCAACTCAGTCAACATTTTTGAATTTCTTTTCCCTACAAGTATTTTCATGGATCATTTTTGCATTTTTTATGGTTGCAGTGTTCCAGTTTACAAGGCCGCCTGCTTGCCCTTCTACTATTTTCTAATATTTTCAAATCAGCTGCCACAGCAGCTGCTAAAATGTTGCCGTAACGACACAAGCGAGTGAATCTTAAGGCACACGGTGAGGGACAGAAAACAATATGGAGCCATTAGCGTATAAACACACACTGACTCATCTTTGTGGCTGGTGTCATGCTGTGGTTTCTGCTCATTAGGGATTCAATATGCATTTTTAAGTGCTTGCCAGCCACCGTCTGACGTTTTCACACAGAAGATGAAGCCTCTGGTTTCTTTGTCAATTCGGTCAATGCAGTGTCCTAAATTCAGCAATATGTCAAAGGTTTTACTGCATATAATTTTTGTACTTATAACTTTGCAATTTCTACGTGAGCTTGTGTAGTTGACATTGACTTCAATCTACCTGCCGATGAGCTGCCTGCCAATAACGGCGTGTGATTTACAGTGTCTTCAACACCATTTCCATCAGCCGTCACTTCTCATCCTCTTCAACCCTTTTGATTGACTTTGATTGACCCTTTTTTTTCAACTTGAAATTGCAGTTTAACAGCTGTTAAATAAATAAGCGCAAAAAGCCATTTGGGCAATTTCCATTCGTGTCCGAAGAGCAGAGGGGAAGGCAAAGGTTTTGTTAAAGCTCATTATTGAAAATCCTCATTTTATTAACAAGCTAATTGTACTCCATGCAAGCACATGTACCATAATGACTTGAGGCTACGCACTAGCATCTTTTATTTCATTTGATCATGGCATAACTTGCAATAGGGTGATTAACATGTCGTGTAATAACATGTAATCATATTGATATTGGGAATAACAATAACAATATTGTTGAGTGCAAAGCTTACAGTATAGGGAAAAATAACAAGCCAGGAATGGATGTATAAAATCTTAACATGTTAAGTAACGATCAAATAAAACATTAGTGAATATATAATCGTCCGCTTGGTAAAAATAGGAAAAATATAAAAATAACTTTTTTTATGCAAATTAAATTTGAAATTGAAATTGTTCATTTGAGGTTTAACCGGAGTTCTTTTGATTACCTTATCTCCTTGTGCGCTCGTATTCTTCAATTTGGATTTTAAATAGAGCATTCCCTCACCACATTTGTACTTTCAAACTGACTCGTGCGCATTAGCAACAAAGCTACCCCACAAATACACACTTAAATTCAAACACTCTTCTGTGGTCGGTCTGTGATCTATCTGCTGGATAATTGGATGCCGTGTGCAGCTGTGAACTTTACATCCGATTAAGGCGCCTGTCTCCATTGTGGCAGCCCAGAGTTTTGGAGGCTGACCCGCAGGTTCAGAGACCCCGACTGACATCCCGCCGGTGCCGAAACGACCTCCATCACTGGCCTCACTGGCCGGCTAATGAGCCTCCGCCGGCCATTAGCCGGCAGGAGGAGGCACGCGGACAAATGGCAGAGCTATTAATCAAAAGGATTGAGGCGTGACCTCACAGTGGTGACGTTAAAGAGCCGTACCCCTGCTGTCTGCCACGTGAGGCTACATGTTTACATGCATATGTAACTGTGTGCTAATGACGTTCCAAAGTATGAACTTATGTTACCTAGACATGAAGTGTACTAATGTTGTTTTGTGTCATATAAAAGCTTCCAGCCTTTTGCTGCGATAATTATATCTACCGCCTCGTGTGCAGCCTTCAACCTTTCAGTAATAAAAATAGATTTTTCTCTTATTGATTGAAGTATTGATCAGTGTAAGCTTGTTAATCAAACATGAGTTGTAATTTATTATTATTTAGATGTAGAAAAATAACAATTTTTGAAATTAAATCATATATCACTTTAGAAATAAAATAGGAGACAAAGTACTGAGTACTAAGAAACATAGGTTTTGTTTTTAACAACAACAACAAAGGTCTATTCGCTCTGTTAACATCAGTCCATTCTCCCCCAATGCTTTCAAAGCACCCTCTGGGTATTTCTTTGAATCTTCCCGTACCCTTTATCTCAGAACCCGCGACTTCACTCAATAAGAGTCTATTCACCAGGCAGGTGAATAAAATAAAATGAGAATTCTAAAAAGGCTCTAAAGGAAGGAGCTAGTGCGGGATGCTCATACACTTGTATTGTCATCATGAGTCGACTCCTGCGATCGAAAAAAGAGAACTTGCAATGGTATGAAAGTCCTTGAGAAAACGACCCTACTTCTCACTTGATATATTACCCCATTAAATATTGTACATATTAGTTTAGGGTCACAATTTCTAGTTTCAAGTCCTCTTCAATAGAACATGATGTTTATTTAGTAAATGCTTGTCGTGTATTGTCTCCCTGTTGTAAATATATTTGGCTTACAACTCACTGTGTTTGTCTCTGAGCTGTGTGAGTTGCAGTGGGCGTTTCTGAAGTGAACACTTCAACAGAAAACCAACATCTGCTGTGGATACTTGTGTTTTGGAGTTCATATTTATTGTCGCTGACTGGCGGCAGAGATACAATGAGATTGAAATTTAGTGAGCACTTGTTTCCACAAACACTGGTTTTAAATAGGCTTCATAGACCCAATTTTCTGGTCTTTTTAATTTATTTAAACCTTATTTTTGAGACAACTTCGGTTGGGGAAACTCAGTTTGGTTTATTAAACCCTCTCCAAAAAACGTTATAATAAAAAATTGAACTTGACAGTAGAGTGGAAATCAAGGCTAAATGAGGAGATATTTATATATTTTATCTCTGTAAAGGCAGAGATAACGAAGGGCGGAAGGCAGCAGTCACTCAGATAAAAAGATCTACGCACAAACGCAACACCCAACGCCAGAGCTATTTATACCTGTAAGCTGCTTTCATCACTTTGTTTGGGTTAACTAGTCTGTAATTAAACCGTACCGTCGCCTCCCTGCGGCTCCCAATGAGAAGTGCAGGTAGCTCAGACCGCCCAGTGAAAATGATTGATAGCAGAAGTAAACCAGTGACAGCTGAGTATTTAGACAACCTCGGCGATAGATTTTCTGCACCAAACCGGAGATGAAATATAAGCAACGTTGACGTGATTTTTATCAGGTGGGAGGGAAAATAAAAGAATAGTAGTTATGAAAGTAGGCAACATGCTTTGCAGCCTGTTTAGATTTTTCAATTTTGTGAAAAAACGCCATATATTTTACAAAATATGTGCTTCTGTTATAGTGGGAAATACTTCATTCCTGCCGTGGTAGCAGTTCGTACCTTTGCAACTACAACAGCAAGTATTTCT